CCGAACACTGGCGAGACACAGGCTATTGACTGTGGTAACACTGTGTTACTAGCACCGCATCTTCCATAACGAAGGGACCCTCTACTCGGCCCTGAGATACTCCTCACCTGACATCATCGATGCCAGCTCGCTGTAAACGGGGATGGCTCACAGATGCTCAAAGAGAGGCAGAAATGCAGGTGATGTCATGCGCTCTCTGACATAGACCATTGCGCTACTTTCCAATCCGGGGAGAAGCCGCCGTCTGTAATATCACCAGATGAAGGGGATCGCACTGAGAGAGCTGCAACAGGTTAGGAATCAACATGATTGGTTATAGCAATTAAGGGCTGAATGGTATCAAGAAAGCAATACAAGACGCCGCCGGATGAGGTTGATGCTCTTGAGAATGATTCCACCGTTCCGGCGGAGCTATAGGTCAGCTGAGACCATTTCGGCTCGGACGCCGGCCGATTGTGCGGGAAACGACTGTTTTTGAAGGCAGCTGAGGCTACATATATTACAAGTAGGTGTATAGCGACTCTCTGTAAATAAGTATTGGCCTTAAAATCCTGAATGCTGGCGTTTTGAAGGCGCTGAAGGTAATGGTGAGACCAACGTTGAATGAAATTATAGTTGCATACTTACAGTTACGAATTGGCCGCAAAGCCGGAGACGACCGCATTCCCATACCAGGTATGACACCTTTATTACCAAGGAGGTGATTGAGGTGTTTTTTACCTCAAGAGATCCGAAGTGCCAGGATAGAGAGGGAGCACGAAGCGAAGCATGGAGGAGTTCGCCACGGACAGCCGCTGCGGTTGAACCGCATCCCGTACGATACTAGTAACTCGACAAGCACGGGAGAGTCGGAATGGACTGAATATACGACTTATCATCTCTTTAAGAGTCTCTAGATGACTTCTGTTGAAAAGTTCCAGCAATCAGCTATTCATTCACATGCAACAGATGCGAAAAGAATATAAGACTTCATGCTGCCAGGAAGAAAAATGACTATGGACGAAAGCAGATCGTCCTGATTCGAATGTGATGGGTTTCATCCAGTGCACATCCATAATGGAGGAGATCCACTCAGACCTTAGGTGTACCACCAAGCAGGTAATCATCTATTCCACAGTTTCCGAGGGCTATCTTGAAAAGGCCGTGGTCACCCCAGTCTTCATTCCAGGAGTTCACGACAAGCCAGTAAGCTTGTCCACTCTCTTCACCCCAACCAATTATCTTCACAGCATGTCCACCGAGATATTCTCCAGAAGTATGCTTGTATACACCGGACTTGTAGGCTAGGAAATCTTCGTAAACAGTGAAAGAAGCCGAAACCTGATCAAAGTTAACGTTTGGATCACAGGAGTGGATCGGTCCCACTGGGCCATCGGTCCTGATAGCATTCTTGGCATCGTTTACAGAGTATTGATAAGGAGAGGATTCCACCATGAAATGACGATCACTGAGAATGATAAACTCGATTCATTTGACTTAGCTTAGCCTTCCTTTACTCTCTCAAAGTGGTCGTATACTTCGGGTTGTGGCATTGTTCGGCACAGTTGGGAGTCTCGTATGAGTCCTGATAGGCAATGGCAGTTACTGTCTCAGCGGTCGCCGGCGGCGACACGCCGCTACAGCTTACCTTCGGGCATTTGGGGTACTTGCTATCATTGACATGATGAGCGCATGGGGGGAAATCGTACGGCCAGCACCCATCGTCTTTAGTCATATCATCTTCCGCAACGTAATCTCCACCTGAGCACCGAAAGAAATGTTCTACTACACTTCAGGATTGTGCAGCATATGTGAATATCGGAGGTTCAATTTCCATAAATCAGCCCAGTGTACTGGGACAAGTTGTCCCAGACGATGCTACAGCAGGAGTCATCGTCGCTGGCTCATTATTGAGAACGACAGCGACCCGTGCCGAGATTATCATCATATTTCCCAGCGTCTACAGTGTGGGTCTCCCTTGTCTTCGTTCTGTAGACAAGACTCTTGTCACAAGAGTGACTATTGAATAGTCGAGGATAAGTCATAGCAAACTCGCCTCGGATTCCGAGACTCGTTTCGGTCGACTTCCCTTACCAGTTGCGATCCCTTTATCGTGCACCCAAGACCAGGCTGAGTTAGGAAATCCACCATTGCATCCGTGGGACCTGGGCAAAAAATTCCGATTGGGAAGCTCCCAGTCTAAGTCTGGCATCCTCGACTCACGGCGCACAAGCATTCATCTCGCCGGCCGATAGGAGCTCCGTGAACGTCCCATGCGACTTGATACATAGGCGGTCATTGAAGGCCTCAGTGACACCGAATGCCCAACAGCTTCCACAAGCTGACTGGTCTCTGGAGTTCGAGGCAGCATTTTCTCACACAGTCGCCAGTTAGCTACCTGATATGGCCGATAACCTTTGAGCAATTGGGAAAGGCGGTGCGAGCGTCGAAGTCAGTGGGGAGGTCTTGTAGCTCCTCTATAGCATAGCCTTTTCTTATGGCTTTGTCGTTTGACCCTCTCATCAGTGTTCCACATAGCACTTTAGCATCACGCAGGGAGAGGTCTGAGGAAAAGAAGAGAGATGCTTCGACAAACACTTGGGAAGTAGAGCTACTCTTGAATCTTTTTTGCCCAGTCGACGCGGTCCATGTGTTTTGCTTGGAATTGATCTCGTCAACGAGGCTATGCATGATGGCCGGTCTGGTCTCATCGTAGAGGACCCGTCAATCTTCAGTCGAGATGAGTTCGGACTGGATCCT